ATTCCTTTGAGGTGGGACATGACTTAATGGCATTCTTTAGGCATGTTGCCGCTGTTTTAACAACTCTCATCTCTTCTTCCTTAACGTCCTCCTTCTTTGGCTCATTATAGAACTTTTGCAGAATTTTTGCAGCAAAGGGTCGCATGGTTACAACATCAGTTCTTCCATCCAGCTCTGTGAAAATAGCATCTTCTCCGAAACGTTCTTTGATCCTCTTCTTCATGTATACAGCACTGTATGAAGAAGTTTTAGATTCCTGAAGGAAGTCAGCCATTTTTTCAACTAAATCTTTAACGGTGAGCTGTTCCTCGTCATTTTGTTCAAAAAATTCCATAGCCCTTTCAAAGGCATAATTTTGCATTTCTTCCAGTGGTCTGCCACGCTTCGTCTTCTTTTGAGGTGCTGCGCCTTCTTGATTTGATGTGAAAACTAAAGGGATTCCTTTTCTTGTCCTAAAGTTTACACTGCATTTTTGGTGGTACAAAGCATCTGCAGTGTGAAGATCAATAGCCGATTCAGTTCTCTCAGCGACCTTTCTTGCCCATTCATCATTTCTTTCATTGCATATTTCGGAAACTGTATTCTGAAATTCGAAGGTCCTCACTGGTATAAGAGAAAAGTCCTTCTTCTTCCCTTGGTAGCGGTCCCCCTCACCAAAAAACAGACAATGCTCTTTAAAGTTGAATTTCTGAGCTTCAGATCGAAGTGAACGCTTGCCCTTTGCTTGGGAGGTCTCTCTTGCAGCCGCTGCTATATTTTGTGGCTTTGTGAAATTTGCACGACAATCCTTGTGAACTGATTGACCAGCAGTAACATTTATCACGTCGCCTCGCTCTTTACTTGCGTTGTTGATTCCATTTGCACCTTTCTGATGAAGAACGACACCTGCTGCTATGTTCCAGATTGGTTTTTTGCAGATAACACACTCCATCTTACGTAACTGTCATGCAGACCATTTTGCCGGTTGTAGACTACGTTTTATTATCTGCACAAGGAAGAAATAACGCAAGCAACAAACAGGTTCTCTGGTCAAGATTCAAGGTCAACATGCAATTTGATCATATGCTCGATCGCAACAGCTCCTTCACCAAGATTTGTTTTGAAATGGTTCGAGAGGACTTCCCCAAATAAAGTAAACATCACAATTAAGTAAGCATGATGTTGAATAAATATCTATTCAAGAGTGGGTAATTATCTTGGTAGATTTAATGGAAATACTACGAGAGTCATTGTAAACCCATATGCCTTCTCGACTTTGACTTCTACGTTTAAAATCCATGAAATTTTTTTAGCTAAACCACCTTAATTCAGCTGGCAATTTGGACACTTTCCACTTCTAGAATTTCTTAGGACTTTTCATATGTTATAGAGCATAGGTTCGACCATTTTTTGACTTAGTTTTACTGGACTATAAATTGGGATCCCTGTGATATTTGCATGACTAAATTGGAAACCCATGAGCGTTATTGAGTTTCAATGTAGAAACCCTATGTTTGCGCCTACAGAATTACATAAAAGTACGCAAAGAATAATTTTCTTTAACTTTGGAGAACTTTCAATGTGAAAAAAACCCCCATCTGAACTATCTTTTTTTCCTGTAGCTCTGTGTTTTCCAGTGAATGATTAGCGTTATATTGTCAGTAGATCGTAATGTTAGAATTGTCTGTTAATCGTATCATTGTCAAAAATTCTGTATTTTCCCCATTTGTCTGTAACTAGTATCCTGTCCCGCAGCTCTTTTCGTAAAATTGTGAAAGTAAAAATTATCATGTGAAGTAAAATGTTGTAGTCAAGGGGGACTTCTGCACAAAAGGGGCAATTGTCTCCTTTTAAATGGTCAGGTATAAACTAAATGATTATCATTGTTATGCCCTGTCCATACTGTGTCATCAAAGGGCAGGAACTTAAAAAAAAGTATCTGTTCCTATCAGCTTAATATCTGATATGCGCCCAAGGGTGCTCAAATATTAAACTGATTTCTGGAACTAGCTTGTCAGCATGAGGCTTGCCTCACCGTGAGCATGGGTTGCCCTGGCATTGCAGTACAGCCATGGGTGGCCCAGCCCTTTTTCACCAATTGGCAAGAAAACAACATTTTTCACATTTTCACAGTTGCATTCATTCATGTCCATATTGTTGATATGAATGGCTAACTACGATGTTAACTAGGAACTGACATTGTATGTAGATGGTTGCTTTTGCATTAAAGTAGTTTAAGCCTTGTACTAGACACAGTTTTATTTATGATTGTAAATCAAATATACATAGACTGCGAAGCCTTCAAAGTGTTGTGTTTTTGTGTTCTTCTGTTCTTGCTTTTTTGTCTGCCTGTTTAGTAGTCAGTCACTTCTAGCCAGCCATCTTTGTATGCTCAAAAATTAAAGGATAATTTTCAATCTCAGGCGACTGCTGACTCACGGCTTATCAAGCAAGATTAGTTTTTTCTTCACAAAAGCGATGGTGAGTACATCAGTTTTATATTTGAGCACTTGATCAAGTTTCCTGTCAGATTGAACATTCACTCAATGTTAAGCACATTCAGAGATCTACTGATACAACCTTCCCACATGTGTTGGCTTGTTTCTGCAACCATAGAGTTGTCAATGGCCAAATTGGTAGTTCATACTTACCGGATGGGGAAGACAACATGATCAAGGGGTAGCAGTTGGTGACGATTTTGCGAGCTCTGACTGCTTTCATCGTATTACTGTTTTTGAGCAGTTTATTAGGCTAGATCTCAATACCTCAATTAACAGTTTCAACTGTAGTACTTTTCAAGAACCTTTTTTGTTAGAATTCGAAATGGCAACAAGCGAGATCAGTTCAATTTAGGGAAATGTGGATTCAGAGGAAATAGAAAGGCGGCCTACCTGCTCAGAGAGTAAAACAAGGAAATGTGAAGATCTCTGCATCGGATTTAGCAGCGAGGGCAGCAAAATTCGAAACTATTGGATTCCATTGATCACAAGGAAATTATCCAGTTCTTTCAACAAAAGTTCAGAGATGAAAACTGCATCCAGCAATTAATGCCCCTTGCAGCCTTCCCTGGCAGACGTAACTGGAACATTATTTTCTCGCGACCCTCGATGGTTGATTCAGTCATCGAAGAACTTATTAAACTCCCATCGCTCTCATAGGGCGACCCCACCATTGCTTCCATTCCTGTTAGATGAAGAGCACTACTAATCACCATTCTTGATGCTTCTCTCGATATTTGGGATAATGAAATTGGTGACAAACTCTCACATTTCAGAACAGTAACCTGAGTTTGGAAACAGACTTGGGTAGGGTTTCTCAACATTTTTGATGGGAAACGTCTGGTAATTTTCTTTCCTTCGGGAGGCACAGAAATAACTCCATTGGTTATTCTACGAGACAAGAAAATTTCGCTCTCGAACAGGGGCAAACCTGTTTTCTGCAATATTTGCATGTCAGATACGCATCAAACATCTGATTGTCCAAGTAGGGATATGCGCCATTGCTACCTTTGTGGTTCTACGGACCATTCGAGAAAAGATTTTTCAAAGTTTGTTCCCCTAAAAAGGGCTCAGGGAAGGCTTCTTAATGGTGAAATCCAATCGGTAAAAGATGCAACCCCTATTGCTGAACCCGAGAACGAAGAGCAAATCGAGGACGAGGAGCAAATGAAGGATGAGGAGAAAATTTAAGACGAGGAGAAATTCGAAGATGAAGAGTTAACAACCAATCCAGCCATAGACGAACCTGCAGCTAGCCACACAATGCCAGAAAGCACCAGCACCATTGAAATTGCTGAATCACCGCTCAATAAATTAAATCCAGCTCCTAAACCACAAAAATCAAACCAAAAACTCACCAAATCACCGCAAGATTACGCCTCCTACACAAGGAAACCAAGAGGCCTGTACCCTCTACCCCTGACAAAAACGTTTCACTTAAAAAACCTGCTGGTGAGAACGTTAAATAAAATCTTTTTTTTCTTTTTTTCCAATTCAATAGTTTTATTTTGATTTTAAATTTTCTCATGGCTTGTGTTGTAAGCATAAACCTGAATGGGTTGAACGACCCCAGTTGCACAGATTCAATCTTACACCACCTCTATAGCCTTAAGCCTGATATTCTCTTTTTGCAGGAAACCCACCTCAATCCTGTTAAAGTGCATATGACACGAACATTTTTATTCGCTTAAACTATCATAGAAACATCGCTGGGAACGATGGTGAACTTAGTTTTTTTATTTGCGACTTACTTTCTTCGAAAATTGAGGTTTTCTGACACCCACTCGAGCTAAATTGTGTCACAAGAAAAACGCGGTCGGGCCTGTGGTCACGTGACCTCTGTGACGTAAAGTGGTTGTGTATTGTTCAAAAAAAGCTGAGCTGCCGTATGGATTCACTATGTGATGGCACTTCTGTTGTCCCCCTAATCGATGGTTTTTTGCATGATTATTACTCCAGTAATGTCATAAAATACCGGAAAATGATTTAGGTCAATTTTTGGGTAATTACAAAATTAATAAAAATAGAAATGACATGATATAAAGATATATATAGAAATGACATGATATATATATTGCGTGCCATAGTCATAGTTTTGCACTTCGCAGTGCCAACATTGTTTGCAAGAAAGTCATATCCAAAAATAAATATGATTTATTAGAAGAAAATTAGAAAACTTTTACTATAAAACAGGTACAAACGTTGCAGTAAATTAGTATGCACGGCTTTAAGAAACGAATATACCTCTGATGTGTGTTTTCAAAAAAGTGTAAATTGAACTAACCAAGACTATCTGATGGCCGTTTTCGAATTCTACTTTCGAATATGTCACAAAAAAGGAGCAGCGGAGATTTCGGAGGAAGATATTGTTGTGCTGGACTACCATCTGGAAAAAGCTGCACCAACAGAAGTTCGACGCCTGATATAACTTTGCACAAGTTACCAAAAGACGAAAAGATATGAAAGCTGTGGGTGCAGTATATATAATTGCATCAAAAAGATTTTGAGCCAGCATCTTACTCGATGGAACCGTTTCTTTGCTCAGAGCATTTTCTCCCAACTGATTTTTCACCTACGTTTTCCTCCATACCTGGTTTCAACACTAAAAACACCAAAACCTTTCTTCGACGAGACGCTATACCTTTAGTCCGCAAACCAAAACAAGATGAGGAACTTAGCAAGCGTGAAAAGCGCATGGTGAGTAATGTGCTTGCAATTTTTTTTAGTAATTGCTTGTCAAATTGCTATTGTTTAAAAGCTGAGATGCGTTATTGATAATGCCTCAAAAACCCCGGGGGCACCCACATAATACTTTCAATGTGGATTTGAAGTTTTGTTGTCAGCTCCCTTCGTAGAGTGTTTCTTATCAAAACTTTCTATGCTTATCCAAGAAAAACTCGGGCGCGATATTTAGAAAATGAAATTGAACAGTCACATCAAGGGCAACAAGAGACTTCACAACTGGCAGAGGCAGTGTCATTCGTCAAAACGAAATTAATTTCAGGGTATCTGTCTATTGGACTGCTTCCCCCTCAGTAATCTAAAATAAAGAGAATATAGTTCAGGTTGACAATTATTGGGGGCTCCGACCCCCGCTTCCGACGGCTTTGACATGTAGCGAGATACTACAAGTCTTGGTTACTGGATAAACTACTACTTCATTAGGTATCTCTTTGGTTACTCCTTTCCTCTCTGTACATCATCCATGTCAGCATTTTAAAACATCAAAAACAACCGAAATGCTGATTTTTCAGTTAATTTAATAAACCTTTTAAAACTAATGTTATACATAGTTAAACTACTTCATTATCTCCCGTCGTATTTGACTTTTTTAAATAACTTGTTAGTTTTCTTGTTAGTATTCGTGAACCCCGGACATTGATTTTCTGCAAAATCTTGAACTCAAATATTGATATGGACCCAGATGCAAAATAAAAGCGAGAATGTTGATAAGCAATGCACAAAAGCTATGTTCATATCGCATTATTTTACTTTATTGTTTTGTTTATTGTTAGTTGAACGCGATTCCTTAGATTCAAAAGTATTTGTCAAAAACCAATACAAAATTTCCTCCACAGCTCATAAAAGGAACAAACATTTCTCATCGACCATCGACTACAGAGGACACAGAATTAGTGGATGTTGCATCCACCTTGACTGCCGTAGTAGATATGGAAAGCCGGATAAGCGACACCGTTCCAATTGACGATGACGAGTCCGACCAAAAACAGCGTGATTTTGGGATTCAATGCACAATCAAAAAGAGCAGCTCATGCTCTCGTAATGCCAGAAAGCTGAATACAGCAACCAAGAAAATCTTACGTCTAGTTGGCAAAATTTGCATACTCGAGAAGGAAATGGTACTTTTTTCTTATTTCTTATTTCATTAGTGTTCTGTCTCAAATTGTGCTGCAACAACTATTTTGCTTCAGCTTGGTGAATCAATTTTTTATATTATAAAACGTCCCTTTTTAGAAAAACCCAATAGCTCCTGTTGCGACTGATGAGGACACGGACTCAGAGGGAGACTCAGATCGTCCATGCAAAGCTGGACGAGTAGTATACAAAGACATTTCAATGACCCCACATGAGGAAATATTTGGCGACGACGAAGTTGGAGAAGAAATCGGGGATGAAGAATTTTTTGACCAGGGGGCACACAGCGAGGGAATCGAAACTGATACTGATGATGATGAAGACAGTTCAAAACATATCAGGCAAGACTACCTTTAATGCTGTGTAAACAAAAAAAAATAATGTGACATGCGACTCATAAAACTACATTTTTTTTTTTGGTGGTACAAAACTTGTAAATAGCTTTGAAAAAAGCAAACATTTAGTAAACTAAAGCTTTTCGTCTGACACTCTTTAGAGTTTAAAATGTCAGAACATAGATCGAAAACTCTACGCTAAGAAATATATATACCCAGTTGTGCATCGAAATAGGCCAATCAGAAACACGAGCACATGACTGTAAAGGTTCACCAATCAGTGCCGCTTGCCTATTAGAATGTTACCAATGGAGTCCTGGAATTATACAAAAAATCAATATTTTAGGTCACTTTATAAGAAACATAATGAATTACATCAGTTTTACTCTTAAGAACAAGACTAAATAGTAGCATGTTAGAAAAAATATGTCTATATGTTTAAAGCCTATGCATGAAGTCTAGCTGTACTGATGAGCCCTGATATTGGGCGAAACCGGTTATATTTCTCTTAGAATTAAAAAGCAAATTGCCAAATTAAACAATACTAACTTCGTTATTCTAAAATTGTATGAAATATGATATTAAACTTTTGTGTGTCGACAAATTTATTGTGAAGTTTTCTTGCATGTAGTGATAAATATTGCCCATATTATTAGAAAGAGAATGCTCACCTTGTCAAACAGTTGATCCCTGCTTTCTGCAAAATGCCCATGTTGCGTTTTGACTCACATTTTACATGCCAACACTTTGGTAGACCAAAATCTAAGCAACGTTGATTTTATTCCGCTTTTCTATGCTTTCTGCATAGCTTGTTATGATTCCGCTCGTACCACAGAATTCTTTGCCCGCACTTTCTTTGGTCACAAACCTCGGGTTGAATACGAGTTTAAGCTCGGACAAACGTCTTGGCGCCGCCCTGTCTGGGCTTCAAAAACAACAAAGGAACCGACTGCAGTGTCTCTTCTGCCTCTCTCTATTCTGTGATTCCCTGCCTAAAAGTAAGAAAAAGATAAAACTGTTTATCTATGAGTTTATAAAATAACAAAAACTACAAGAGTAAATTCACAAGGTGTGTGTGAATAGAGATGATCAATTTAACATCACCCTCCCTCTGTCAACACAAGATGACAAAATGTTTGAGTGTAGTTGAAATGTATACTTTTGCCTCACTCCTGCCTCCTTTTTTCTGCATAGATCCTTTTTGGTTGGCCACAAAACAAGTCCACCATACTTCAAATCTTTTGTTTAAAATTTTTACTTACAGCTATTAATTTGTTGGTGATCTTAGCAGATTTTAGCCTGCGTCACAGACCAAAAACTTCCGTGAAGTGTATGGTCTGTGCGCTGTGGGCGATTCTCATGTGCGGCGAAGAGAGAATTAATGCCATAATTATTCAATTTATGCGTTCAGTTCTCTGCTTGAGAACGAGATTTTTCAAACGCTATTAAATTTGTAATGGCGGACAACGTTTGTGTGTTGTGCAACCTCAAACTTCAAAATTTGATTGTAGCACGCGAAAGCTTTGTATAAGAAAAGAAATCAATGATCTCCCATTCAAAGTACCAATAGATCGTAGCAAATATGTTTGTAAGCGGTGTTTGTGGCTGCTGACTAAACGCAGCAAAGCAGTAGAAAAATTCTTACAGACAAAGAGAGAAATTCGAAATCTGTATACAGAAAATTGTCCAACCAGCGCCATTATTACGCCACTCAAGTACAGCCATACGACATTGACGTGTTTGAAAGATCAACGGAGAAAAATTTCAAAAGTTGTCACCCAGAGGGTAAAGATTGTGCTGCTGTTCTTACAATTAAGTGGCCAAGCTGTGACGGTCAAAGAATCTGAGTGCAGATTTGCACCAAATTGCAAAAAAGATACTGAGAGGTCGTTATGACAAAATAGCTGCTGCAGTTTGGAGGCATGATGCTCTCAGAAAGCACATAGTTGCCATATTCTCTAAAGAGATTAACAGAGAATGTGAACGGATGTGCCAATTAAAGCTAGAACCAAGCATATTGAGGATGTCACCAAAAGACGACATGCTGGCATTTTCATTTAAAAAGGTTGACGAAGAATTAAGTGCCAAAGCCCCTCTTCTAAGAACTGTGCTCATGGCAGCCACCTTACGCCGTTCAAAATCACCAGACATTAATGGTAGATGGTTGCCTATTGTTTCAACTGCTGCTGCAGTTTGTTTTAAGGGAAGAAGTAAATTCCTTACAGCTATGCAACTTCTTATCTCAACAATTGTCCAGCACTCTTCTTACTCTGCAAGTAAAATTGTTTGGCATGAGGTTCATTGATACTGCTAATAGTTTCTGCAAGTAGTTTACAAAATAATCCTGTCTTTACTTTGGTTGTATTTTTCCAATTTCTAACTTAATGCTTATTCAAGATTTTTCTTAAGGGAAAGTGAAATATTTACATATGTCCCATCAGCTTTGGCTTTTTGCCAATAGGTCTTTTTCGGCTTTGATTTTCATTAATTTTTCTTTTTAAAGGGAGAAGGTGCTTACACTTCATATTTGTAGGATTTCTTGAATTTCTTTCTTCAGCAAAAAATTGCATCAAAAACAAAGGCATGCAAGGCAAAAAGCCACAACTCCCGTAACACTTGTTACTTTTTGGATAGAAAGATTGTGAAACATAGGTAGAATTTGTTAACAATATATTATATACAATTGGGTGGAAACAACATTCAAAGAACAGTTATTCTTCTAGTATGCTGTGCTTCGATTGCAGACACTATGTCTCATGGTTTCACACAAATATTTTAATCGGAAATTGGATGAATTTGGACATGACCATGACAAGGCCATCAAGCAGAAAATTGAAAACAAAGTCAATGCAATAAAGCAAAAAGTCGAAGGTATGTTGTTATTTGGGCCTACTCTACAATTTTTTCCATACTGCACAAAGAGATGGATCCAGAAGTAGAAACCGCGTAGGGTCATCACAGAAAATAGACTTTCATTTTCCTCGTGCAGTATTTTCCTTATGTGTAGTTTTACTCACAGGATGTAAACATAAGGCATGTTAAAAGGTATTCTGACATGCTTCATTTCAGCTGGTGGTGTTCCACCCAACATGTCATTGATGATACTGGACGGAAAATTTGTTTTGACAATATAGACTGGCATACCAATGATCATCACATGACATCTGAACACCAAAATGAAGACACACATTACATTGTCAAAATGGCAACTGAAAATCGAGTGGGTGGATTCAACATACCAGATGAAAGGCCTAAAGCATGTGTTTTGGAATTAGAGAACTCATAATTTCTGCCAAGTTATTTAGATCATGTGCTTCAGCAAAAGCATTACATTTACTTAGTTGCAAGAATAATAACAAAGTATGCCCCATGTCTACAGTTTCTCCAGAAATCTGTACCAAAGCACATTCCTCACCCATATAGCAATGAGATGACACAGCAGACCAACACTGTAAGTATATTTTTTGTTCATACCTTACGTTCTATCCACATTTTGTTTTATAGCGTTGAGTGAGCTGGCATGGATCTTGTCACATTTTTGTGTTGACCAACACAGCAAATTTCACAAGAAAATGCTTTATAAACTTTGATGCCTGCCACTGAATAGGTCTTTGAACACTGACATCAATTTCCAAGGTCAAAATCAATCATTCCCCCTCCTAACAGAACAATCTTGGTTTACTATCAACGGGTTAGGAGGGGAAAGAGGGCAGAAGTGGCAATTTTTTTCGATCACAGGAATGAAAGATATCAAATGCAGCGTAAATTCCTGGGTGTTCCAGGTACTTTTGGCAGGCATTCGGTATCATGTTAGAATGTAAACTTTTGTGCATGAAAGTTTAATTCAAATTTAACTTTCTCACAAAATTAAACATACCCCTTAATATCTTATGCAACCTTTTTTTTGTACCTGGCTGTGTCACTCACAACATAAACAAAAAACACAAATATGCCATCAATAGTTCATAATTGAGCAAAAATTTATTCCAAGTTATGAATGGAAAATTTATGATTTTCATTATTTTTTCTAAAAAGACATTCCTTGGAGTCATTTATGAAAACGAGAATTTTTCAGAGGGCATTGTTAAAGTCCTACAGGATTTACAGCAGTACCAGCCAGCCTGTGGAGAATGAGAGGAAAAAATATATATGGCACCCAAGGCATGCAAGCTGACCAACTTAGTGTTGAAAGAGCTAATAATGCATTGCTCCAGCTCTCTAATGCTTTTACCCCAGAAGAGCGATTTGATGGCATGCACCTAGAAATAGCTGATTTTCATTCCTCTATCAAATTTCTACAGGTTTGTAAAGACTGGACCATAAAATCCTTCCCAAGAAACAAAACTAAGAAAAAAAGAACACAAAACTAAGAAAAAAGGAACACAAAACTAAGAAAAAAGGAACACAAAACTAAGAAAAAAGGAACCAGAAAGGGGGTGCTAGGATAAAATAGCATTAATTTGAATTGCCAAAGTACAGCTGAGAGCAACATTATTTTCAAATATATTTGGTACACTTTTGACAAATTTTGGTCATGAAACATAGAAAGTGCTACCTGCTGTTTCAGCATAGCCATATTTAATTGGATTTAATTCATTTCGGAAATATAAGGAAGTGGTTTCCTTGTGCATTTTTCAGAATTTTTACTATTTTTGTAGATTTTAATAATATGTTAGTAGTGATAGTCTTGTGTATTGAAATTTAAATCATCTGCAAATCGAATAAAAACAGATAACAAGTAGCTCATCTAGTTGTGATTATCAGCTAGTTATGAAATATTTTCCATTTGAAGAGTTTGCACAGTGATTATGTGCAAAAACACAGTTCATGTGAGTCAAGCCTCCAGTACACAATGTTGTGAGAAACCCTATAATGTGCAGAAAAGGAACTATTAAATCAGAAATTTGAATCATTAAATCAGAAAGTTTTGGTTATTAACAGTTCAGTTCTAGATGATATTTAAAATGTTTATCTTATTGAAATTGGCTTATTTAGGTTGCATTTGACAAATTCTATCATGTAACTGCAACTGGAGACAATGCACCTTATACAGTGATAGAACGCTGATTAACTGAACTACTGACAACAGACTGGTAACAGAAGTAAAAAGGAGGGTAAATGCGTGCAAAAATTTCTTTGACCTTTCATTGGATGCTCGTATTATTGCAGCAAGAATGCATGTTCTTAATATGAACAGTAAAAACAACATCCCACCTGATTCTGTTTTGCCTGACAGGCTTGAAAATGCCAGCCTTAATGACCAAAGAGAATTCATTTTTGAAATTGCGCACAAGATTGTAGACACTTTAATCTTAAACATAAAAAGATCAGCCGCTCTCTTTGAAAATCAAATTAATGTCGAGGAATAAGAAGCAAACAGTCACAACAGAAGATGGAATGTTTATAGACAGGGAATTTACTGTAACAATCTAGCAAACTGGGTAACCGAAATTTTTGAAGTGGATATGACTTCTATGATTGTTGGTCGTCCATTTAAGCCTTGGGCACATTCTTAAAAATTTGTTGTTGTCACGTGATCGATGACGTAATTACTCCCCGGTCAGTAAAATATTAAAGACAACATTTTTTAAATCTGAGTATATCATTCGAAAAAACATCCAAAACTGAGTCAAAAATTTTAAAACACTTATATTGTTTGACTTATTGTTTCGAAATTATAGATGTTTGAACTTTCTATGACGTCATCAAAATGGCCGCCACTGGATTTTCTGAAGAGCAATTTTTCATCGTGTGCGTTCTACTAAAGCAATTCTTAGCAACCAAATTGTTTTGTAAAGATACTAGTTAGGTTTCAGTTATGCCGAGATAAGCTGCCCTCTAAGTTACCATCCTCTAACATCATAGTTTACGAACTTAAGGCATTCATCCATTCATTCATCCATCGAGTCCCCACTGGACGAAAAGTCTGAAACTTCCCATTCACTTTTGTGTTCATCGATTATTGAAGTGTCCAAGCCATCAATGATTTCTTTTCTTGTCATTTCGCTATCCCCATCGTAATCCATATGTGTACTAGGCAATGCATCTCTTTGGTGGTGTTTTCTCTTCTTTGGAGTGTGTTTTTGGCCCTTAATTTTACATCACTCATCTTCGCATCGCCATCGTTGTCATAGTTGAGATTCTTGGCTGTTTTCTTTCTGCTTGTTGAAAGTAAAGGAGGCAACTGTTTGCCTTTAAACCAGATCGGAACTACAACCTGTTTTTTCCTTGTCCCATTTCCAGCCATGATTTGCAAAGCTAACTGTCTCAATGTTAACTTCACAAGAGCAGACCCAGTGGAACACTTGGTAATTTGCTCGTCTGGTGGCTTGCTCAACTGAATCTGGATCAGGAGGAATTGAAGATGAAGACTTTGATTTCATTTCTCTATATAGTCGGATTCTCGTTTCTACATATGACTCGCCTCCCTTGACACTGTAAACAACTGTCCTGATGAACTCTTTTACGTTGTCGATTTTTTTCAGACTTGAGACTTTGATCCTGCCCAAAAGATTCTAGCATCTGGCATTTTGACGGAGAACTTAACAACTTTTTGATGATTTTAACTTTTCCAGCCTTGTAGAAATAGGAAGTGGTGTCACATCCTGATATTGCATGTATTCCTGGAAGTGCTTGACAAAGATCATTTCCTAAAAATTGGCAAATTACTTCTATGTCAGCATACTTATCATGGTCGTACTTGAAAAGCCACGTTTTACAAACAGAAAGCTTTGAATATGCCCATTTGAGAAGGATCAGGACATCGGTATCTTTGGAGACAAAGGGAGCGATGGTGAGATGACCGTTGCATATTTGAAAGATGTGTCAGCAATCTTTTCATTAGTGTCTGCTGTTCGAGAATGTGATATCGACTGACATCTTGAAGCTGAGCGTGAAATGATCTGTCTTGCATTTGCTTTCGATCATCAAAACTATGCTCGATATTGCAGTTACCAGTATGTATACCTTCAAGATCTGAAAAGGAAATTTCATCCAGCATACCAAGATTTAAAGTCTCGAGGTCATGGGGGCAGCATCACTTGTGATTCTTTCTCCACGATACATGGGGACCTTATAACAGAATTTTTCAACAAGGAAACAAAGGGAACTGCTGGCCCATTTCGTTCGGGTTTTGGCACGAATATCGAGGCAGCAAACACCTGGGTGCAGACAATACACATCTACAGCATGCTAAGGATTGCATTGAGAAAACAGCTGAATATCAAGACTTCGTCAAAACATAAGGTGTCTAAGAACAGTGGCAAGAAACTGCACGCTGAGCACGTGTCAACTTTGAAGAAGACCTTGAGAGGATATGGTGTAAATCCATTTTCATCGGATCATCCAAAATGATTATCAACTGGAACAGAGATAGATCCTGCTGTGGTCAAGGATATGCTGAGTGCATCAGAAGTAGGCAATGAAGCTTTTTCAACTTTTGTTTCAGAAAGGCTTATTGAAGGATCTAAGAGTTTCTTTGCCCCCGATAAAGAGAATAAAGTTAAACACAGGCATATTGGCAAAGAAGAAAACCATCAAGGCAGCATCTGTCCTAAAAGAAGATTGTCAAGCTTTTGGACTCTTATGATAGAGAGAAATGGATGTGAGCAGATTTACCGTTGTTATCAGGAAGAAGCGGACACCAGCTTGGTGTTGCATGCGTCATTGGAAGCAGCAGACATAGGTAAAATTTCTATACACTAACATTGAAAGCAAAGTTAAATGTAACATTTTTATTTCCGACTCTTTCCCTGTATTAACCATAACAAAACTACGCTACATCTTTTTATGCCTTGGCGTCCAGTTTCGCTTCTGTGGGACATCGTTCTTTCCCATAAAAATATTCCATTTCCCTTGAAATTTTTGAATTAGACTTAAATTTAATTTCTTTAGAACAATATATTGTCATCAGTTTTGCTAACATTAAAATTTCACCTATTTACTTGCCCGCAATTGCTAAACTCCACTCGAAATTAAAAGAGGAGTTTTTTCTTGCTAAATCCTGGTTCGCTGGTCTTTTTAATTTTAAAACCACTTGGTGTCGTAACAATTTTTTGGCTTCAGTTGTTGACGATAAACTTTTTATCCATTGTTAACCCCCCAACTGTTTAGCTTGATCGCTCTCGTCAACATCTGTGCAATATCGCACTCAGTGTTTCCAAGACACTGGAGATTAACACGTCTATTGGATGACACTTGAACATGATAATCCTCCCCACTGTCCACACAAAGATCGCATACCTCCCTTCAAGATTAATTTGACTGTTTGACTCTGGCAAACATTGATTGAAACGCCTCAAGCAATCCTAGAATTGGCAATTTTGTTGCCTCGTTTCGAATTTACTAGAATTCAGAAAAAGCCCCATCAAATAACTATACCTCACAGTCATAAATCATTGTATAAACATCATTGTGAGGCCTTACTTGTATAAACACCCAGTCTTTGTGTATGCTGTAAATTTTTGGACTGGTTTATATTTAACTGATATCAATAATATTAATTTATAAATTATACTTTCCTCTCACGTATGTATTGTAACCTTAATGAAATTGTGTAATACTTAAAATTATAACTCACATTTTATACTACTTTATTCTATTCGTAACTTCATTTTATTACCATTGCACTTGTTAATTGCTTAATCTCCTTCATCTCAAACAATTGTGAACATTATCATTGTGAAATTAATTATATTAACTTTGTATATAATAAATTGTAAATACTTGTTTTTTCAATTACATGGACGCTGGCATGTGCCAGGCTCAAACGGAAAAAAAAGTTATCAAGAAGGCGTTTCTTCTAGGGTGAGGCCCTTCCATTGCAGTTCAGTTGGGCTGACCCCTGCGGTTACCCCAAACATCGGTAACTCGACCATACAATTTCGTTCGGACTAGTCCCCTCACAGTTGTCTAAAGAATCCAGCCAACCCAAGCAGAATCCCACAAGCAGTTCCTCAAAAACGCCGCCCGTTGTGCCTTCTTGATCACTGACAATATCACAATAGAGGTAGATTGTCATACAAAGACTTGTCATTGTTTGCTTTGCCTTTGTCTGCCTTAACCTGGCTTGTCCTCTGCTGTAGTATTGTTGCCTTAAATATGATGCTTTCAGGCAGGACAATCATCGTTTCTGAAATGTTATGGCTTTAGCATGCCTATTTTGTAGCATTTGATAA